AATTTAAATTCAATCTAATTTAAAAATTAGAAATTGTCTTTAAAAATTTTTCAAACAACAAACAGTTGCAGTTAATTTTCAGGTAACATCTGCTAACCTGTCTTCCAGAGAATTAAAAAAGAAACCACCTTAAATTGTGTAATGAGTCTAGTATAGTAACCTTGATGCTCAAACCAGATAAGGACAATACGAGAAAGGAAGAGTATAAGCTAATTCTACCCAATAACTAAAGGAAGTATTAGCAAACCAGATTCATCAATAATCTTTTAAAAATCAAGAATTAGTTGAATTTAGGGATAAAACACTGTGTATGTATAATAAGTTTAAGAGAAACATGAGAATGATAAGACTGCAATTGAAAGTAGAGGCTTTCTCTGGAGGGAAAGGTGAGGAGGATGTGATTTGGAAGAACTGCATGGGGAGGCATCAGTTGTATTGTAATGTTTACTTTTTAAGCGGAATGATGGGTACATAGATGTTCGTTGTGTTCTTTTTGCCTTTTTGTGTATCTTAAATATATGGTAGTGCCATGGTTATCAGGCTTAATACCCTTGTGAATTTAAATGTCGCTTTCAAATGCTGTATTTTTGGTGGAGTTGCTTAAACACATTCCCCTTGGAATCTGTACAACCAGTTTAAAAAATCATTTGTAAACCACCATGAAATATAATGAAGTATACTGTATATGCATTTTCATGAATGTTGTGTCAAAGGACCTGTAGGAAAAAAAAAGATCGTTAACTCTTTTGCATTCAGTGAAAATAGTGGCTTTGGAAATAGTTTCAGCCTTGCTAACAGTTTTTTTTTTTTTTTCATGCTTAGAATTAAAAGAAATAATTTGGAATTGTAGGTAGATGAGAAATTTAATATAGTTAGGAGTTTGAAATGTTGAATTTCATAGCATTCATATGTCAAATAATTGAACATTTACAATGTGTTAGATACGATGTTGAGCCATGGGAATATATAGACCGATAAAACAGTCTTTCACCTCAAGAAGCTTGGAATTTAATAGGGGAAATAGATGATTCTGATGTTTAAGTGTAGGTACCATCATAGTCATAAACAATTTGGAATATTCCCTTCTGGAAATTAGTTTCCATCTTTCCTTTAGCTGTTTTGTTTTTCTTGTTTTAATTTAAACAAAGTGGTGTGTGTGTTTTCAAGAGTAACCTAAGCCTCTGAACTACTAATATTTAGTCAGATAGACCTGTTTAACTCATCGATAAATTATGTCACTACACTTAAAAAAATACAAGGGACCTGTTAGGCAGTCAGATGCTTTGTAGAAATTGAGATTTGTCAGCCTGGTGCGGTGACTCACTCCTGTAATCCCAGCGCTTTGGGAGACCGAGGCGGGTAGCTCACGAGGTCAAGAGTTCAAGAGCAACCTGGCCAAGATGGTGAAACCCTGTCTCTACTAAAAGTACAAAAATTAGCTGGGCATGGTGGAGGGCGCCTGAGGCTGAGGCAGAGAATTGCTTGAACCCAGGAGGCGGAGGTTGCAGTGAGCCAAAATTGTGTCACAGCACTCCAGCCTGGGCGACAGAGCGAGACTTGGTCTCAAAAAAAAAAAAAAAAGAAATTGAGATTTGTCTGTTTCATTGGGCTGTCATTCTAATTATCCTATTGAAAAGGGATATAATATGTTTAGCTTTAAAAACTAAATCTTTGTTAATATCCAGTTCTGTTCTCTTGTTCTGCAAGACAGATGAACTGATTGCAAGTGGGCCTTTTTTCATGCTTTGAAAAATGTGGTCTCTCATGTGGGTTGCCTCTTTTAAAAAAGTGTTGACTTTTTATACTGCATCTTTAATTGAAAACTTCTTATTAAAGCAATCTTTTCTGAGCCTGCTTGTCAGGTTACTCCTATTATAAAATATGAATACTTAGTAACTTATGATGAACTATTACCATGACCTTATTTTTAAAATTCAAGTTGCTGAAATGCTGAAAAATCATCAATTTTGAATTAATTTCAAGGCTCCTTTTTTGCATTCACACAGATTTGCTTTACCCTTTTTTTCTTGACTTAGTTTTACTTATATCGTCCTTAGTGTTGTCCCCTCAGGTGGAACTCAAAATAGTAAATTCAGAGTAGAGTAGAACTCAAAGTAGTAAATCTCAGTCCATTTGTTTTCTCCTGTTTATATAAAAACAAGTAAAATAGTAAATTTGATAGTTGATTCGCATGAGGTTTCTTAAGTAGTTGCTTTGTGGTAGCTTATCCTTAAGGGATGTGCAACAGTTAGGATTAGGTTTGGCTGTGTATCACAGAAAGCCAGCATGAGGGAAACTGATTTTTCTCTCATCCTCATGAGGTCTAGAATTAGGAAGAACAGGGAGAATAAGGAGATTCACAGCGTCAGGGGCCCAGGCTGCTTCTATCTTGTTGTTCTAACCATCGTCATCCTTATTGACTCGTGGTGCAAAATTGGCTACTTGAACTCTAGCTCTCACATCCAACCTCTAGACAGCAAGAATGAAAAAGGGCAGAAAGGCAAAGGAGCCCTTGCTGGCTTAGGTGGTTGCTCTAAGTAGACTTCCCAGAAGGTACATAACAATTTTATTTTATGTCTCATTGACCAGAACATATTCAGGTGGCCAGTTGGCTATACCAGTTGTTGCCAGGGAGCTTGACGTCTATAGTATTTTATTTCTGCCACATTGTACCCAGCTAAACATCTGAGCTGTGGTCATTATGAAGGCAGGGTGGAATGGATGTTGGGGTAAGCAGCCAGGAGCCTAGCAGAAAACCTGCTGCTGACCAGATGGCTTAGTAACTGGGCTCTAATGTAATCATGGGAAGTAGTGCTAAGAAATCCTCTGATCTGCCTGTTGATTTGAACTTATTTCATCAATACTTACTATCATTTACTGTTACAATATCCTAGATATATATACTAAGTACTTTTCATACATTATATAATTTTCACAGCACTGCTCTGTGGTAGGCATGATCTATTCCATGTTACATATGAGAACACTGAGACACAGGTTACATAACTTGCCCAAGTTCTAATAGTTAGTAAGTGGTGAGTCAGACATTGCGCATGCTTAAGACCAATGGTAATAAACTGGCCCTGTGCCTCTGCTTTTTAATCTGTCTGCCTATATATCTATCCATCAGTTCCTGCTGTCACCCCTGCCTCACTCCTCATACATAAAAATTATTTGAGGTAGCTCAAACATGTACAAAGAACAGAAAAACAAAAAGATACACAGATTGAAGGGAATATGGGAATATAAGAGTGAAAAAATATAATGAAGTTGAGGTACAATTGATACACAGAATTGAATGCCATATGGTCCCATAGAGGTGTCAGAAGTCTTGGTCTGGTTTGCCACTGTGTTCTCTCAGAAACTGAAAGGCAGAGAAATAAGACCTTCTTTATTTAGACTCTTGGCCCCTTCACTGTTTTAGTTATATATTACGAATCCTTATTATAAAGAATACTAGTTTTTTACATTGTGGCTGCAAGGAACTTTAAAGACAACTATAGTATGTTTTTACTATTTTCTGATCTTTTTGTGAGTTAAGCCAAATTGCCATTGTTTATTTTTTGACGTGTGAAAACACAGAGAATTTTTTTAGCTGGGTCATGGGTCACATACTTAGTAAAAACTGGGGCTTGTTTGTGTAAATCATAAGAGTCTGGGCAAATATATGTTGGGAGATTCTGATCTTGATAAAAATGGTATTATGCAAATTATTTGATAGAGCTCCTCCTGTACACCCAAGTTTGCAAACTCCGTGAGGACAAAAGACTTTGCCTTAATCTTTTTTTTTTTTTGAGGCGGAGTCTCGCTCTGCCGCCCAGGTTGGAGTGCCGTGGCCGGATCTCAGCTCACTGCAAGCTCCGCCTCCTGGGTTCACGCCATTCTCCGGCCTCAGCCTCCCGGAGGCTGGGACTACAGGCGCCCGCCACCTTGCCCGGCTAGTTTTTTGTATTTTTTAGTAGAGACGGGGTTTCACCGTGTTAGCCAGGATGGTCTCGATCTCCTGACCTTGTGATCCGCCCGTCTCGGCCTCCCAAAGTGCTGGGATTACAGGCTTGAGCCACCGCGCCCGGCTGCCTTAATCATTTTTTTGCCTCCGTTATCTTCAGTCTATAGGTGTTCAGAAAGAAAATAATGAATGAATGGTTAGTAATGAGAAAATTCTGTTAGTAAATGTTATTCATATTTTTGCTGCTTTAAACTTAAGTCAGTTACTCTGCTTGAAATAGAAGTATGCCGTATTTTTTTATAGTGCCAGCAAGTTGCATGAGATGGGTTATATGCCACTAAGGGTTAGACATTGGGACCAGAATCCAACCCTTGAATGTGGTGCATTTGGGGAATTGTCGTTACTGTGGTACACCTGGAACGTAGTGTTTGTAGAGGGGAATAGCAGGAGATGAGTCTGGCAAGCTCCTGGCAAGTAAAAGTTACTTTTTAATTTAAGGAATGAAAGTTAGGCCTAGATTTTGAAGTATATTAGATGTCATGTTAGCTTTTTAAAAAATGACATTTTTAGTGGGGAGAAGACAGGACATGGTTTGGTTGGTTGGTTGGTTTGTTAATGTTTGTTTGTTTTGACCAAGTCTCATTCTGTCGCCCAGGCCGGAATGCAGTGATGCGATCTCGGCTCACTGCAACCTCCGCCTCCCGGTTTCAAGTGATTCTCCCACCTCAGCCTCTCTAGTTGCTGGTATTACAGACGTGCACCACCATGCCCAGCTAATTTTTGTGTTTTTAGTAGAGACCGGGTTTCACTATGTTGGCCAGTCTAGTCTCGAACTCCTGACTTCAGATGATCTAACCACCTTGGCCTCCCAGAGTGCTGGGATCACAGACGGGGGCTACTGTGCCCAGCCAGGGACATGATTTGATTCTAGTAACATTTGAAAAATAAATAATATAGATTCATTTTTTACATTTCAATTTCAAGATTGTTTGTGAAAAGTGAATTAACAGAACATTTAAGTTTAATGACTTTATTTTGTTTTATTTCTCAGGATGTGATCTTCGTGGTGGAAAGCTAAATTTTAAAACCACCCCAATGGATGCAGACAGTGATGTTGCATTGGACATTCTAATTACAAATGTAGTCTGTGTTTTTAGAACAAGATGCCATTTAAACTTAAGGAAGATTGCTTTGGAAGGAGCAAATGTAATTTATAAACGTGATGTTGGAGTAAGTACTTCAGTTTTCGTATTTGTACTACATAGCCTAATTTTATACTTCTATGAGTGATACTAAAATGTATTCATTCTACAGATAATTTATGATCACCTTACCATGTGCTGGTTGTCCTGGATATAGAAGTGAGCCCTGTAAAAGCAGTCCCTCCTCTCATGGAGGTGCAAGCTTTTGTACATAGAGTATCGGTACCTGAATCAGCAAAGAACTCATTGGTTACAGAGACATTTTATTGTTCTCTCAATTTATTTTAACTGAAGAAAGGGACCTTTATATTCTCACATGTACCTATTAAAATGTAATTGTATTTGAATGATGCCTTTATATATAATTTTTATAGTATTTTAATTATCATATTCTTCTTTAACAAAGGTAGATGGTTTTCTTTCATAACAAACTGCTGAAAATAATATGATTTATATCTTGACGTGGACATCTTGAATTTTAGTTTTTGATAAACCTGTAATATTTTAAAGCCTGAATATTAATAAGTAATAATAAAACCTTAGTGTTTTGAGATTAACATTATAAAAGACATTGGACATCATTATAAACCAAAGATTGATGAGATGGATATGTATTTTACACATTTATTATGAAAATTAAGAATGCATCTCAAGGCTCTGTTTAGCTTTAAAAATTAGGTGCCAGGATACCTATGTAAATTGTCATTAATTCTTTTTTGGGTGTGTGTGAGACGGAGTCTCACTCTTTCGCCAGGCTGGAGTGCAGTGTAGTGGCACGATCACGGCTCACTGCAACGTGTGCCTCCTGGGTTCAAGCAATTCTCCTGCCTCAGCCTCCCGAGTAGCTGGGACTACAGGTGCACACCACCATGCCCGGCTAATTTTTGTATTTTCAGTAGAGATGGGGTTTCACCATGTTGGCCAGGATGGTCTCAATCTCTTGACCTCGTGATCCACCCACCTCAGCCTCCCAAAGTGCTGGGATTATAGGCGTGAGCCACCATGCCTGGCCATCATTACTTCTTAGTACTAGAAACTAAGTAAAGATGAATTAAATTCAATTAAAATTTTCAGTGACCCACAAAGATTTTCAAGTTTGTCAGCAATCCCATCTTTCCTTTAGAAAAGTAATCAATATGTCTGCTCAAAAGTTTAGAGAGGAATATGCCTAACACTGCTTTGGTACTTCACCATGACATATGGAAAGGAAATAGTTTTTTTAAGGAAGGTTAATTGAAAAATCTGAGATGATAGACAAGCTGGTGGCGGTGAGAGACAATTAAATGTGGAATAAACTCAGTCAAGTGTTTCTCAGTCACTTGTATATGAAATTTTATGATGTATTTTAGTTCAAATTTTATCTTGATCTTTGGTAAATTTTAAGTCTGCCCAGATTTAATAGCTTTCTAGTTTGATAATATGGCATATGACAGAGAATGAAGAACACAAAATGTAACAAAAATTTTAAGCAGAAACATCTGATTCATTTATATGTTAGTCAGTGAGCATTTATGTCTTTCTTACGTAGAATGGGCATCTAACAAATATTTCCATTAATGAATAGTTGGAATGAAAATTAAAATTTGCATATTTTCTTGGAGCTTAGTCCTTGACCTATTGATACACACTCTGTAGTTATTTCATTCTAACCCATAGCTTTAAATGCCTTCCAAAGCTAATGAATTTCTAATTACATCTCCAGCTCCAACATTTCTCCTTTATTCAAGATGCCCATGTTGAACTAGAGTATGTAATAAGCATCTCAACTCTAGGATGATGGGTACCATGAAACAGCAGAAAGCAGAGTTAGGAATTAGAAAGCGATGAAGTGATGGGTGTTTCAGGGAAAATGGTTAGGGAGGGCCTCTCTTCAGGAGGTGACATCTGGTAAGAGACCTGAATGAAGTGAGAATATTGAGGGGATACTATTCCAAATGAAAGCAACAGCTACTGCAAAGCTTCTGAGGCATGAACAGATTTCGTGTGTGTGAGGAGCCATGCAAGTTCCAGTTATGTGACTGGAGTGGAATGAGAGTTGAATTGTTTATGTACTTGGAGTACATTGATTTCAAGTATATAGAGTGAGAGATTTCTATACACCTTGTATTTTTAATTAATCAAATGTCTTTTTGGATTAATATGTTCTTTGTGTTCAGTATTGTACTTGATTTCAAAATGGGTGATTTGGAGAGCAGTTATTGCAGTCTTGGATAAGCTTGGAGAGTAGTATTTGGACATTAATATGACTATATAGAACAGAACCATAAGTGAAAAATAATGCTTATGAGGTAATCAGATTTTTTTTTTCCCCCAGAAAGTATTAATGAAGCTTAGAAAACCTAGAATTACAGCTACAATTTGGTCCTCAGGAAAAATTATTTGCACTGGAGCAACAAGGTAAATGCTACTTGGGTTTTTTGTTTTTATTTTTTGCTTTTTCCCTCATGGAACGGACATTTTCCTAGACTTAACAGCAAAATCATATGTGAAGTTTGTTGTGTTCCTCAGTATAAAATTTATTTCCTGTATAACTGATAATCTTTTTCTTTCCTTAATACCATAGTGAAGAAGAAGCTAAATTTGGTGCCAGACGCTTAGCCCGCAGTCTGCAGAAACTAGGTTTTCAGGTAACATTTTCAAACAGTATCTAAACTATAAATATTTAAGGATTTATTTTTGTAGAATTAAAAATTGTAATAGACTCAAGAAATCACTATACATACTATTCTTATGATTGAACTTTTTCTAGGCTTTTTAATACTGCCCTTCAGTGTGAAAATTTGTAGCAAAATTTGGCCATGTGGGTATTTGTAAAGGATCCTAGCTTTTTCCCTAATTCCTTTCCCATAAAGAGACTTGTTTCCTCACAAGTTAATTTCCTTTTCATCTCTAAGTTTTTTTCACCTCTGATGTACACAAACAAAATCGTTTTTGGTTATCTCAAGAATGCCAGGTCAGAGTGGTGAATAGAGAATGGCAGAGGCCCCTTGACATGGACACACCAGCTGGCAGGCTCTCACACATGTAACGTGACTGTCACCGGCATGTCAGCCTCATCACTATAACTTGATAGAGGTATATACCTTTGAATAAAATGATTACATATTATGGACTTGCTAGGTCACTTGCAAATGATGAATAAATGAAAGATAAAGATGGGAATGGTCCCTGAAGATGAGGGCAAGGCTGTTTGGGATTGAGACAAGTTTGTAGAAGTGGGGAGAGGAAGTTACGTTTCCCTCTGATGACTCAGTCTCTCTGAAGTAGAGGGTGATAGGAAGAGACTGAATGGCTGGTGGGGAGTGGGGGTTGGTGCTTGAGGGAGGGTGGCAGTAGAGAGAGTCTTGAGTTGTACTGTGATTTGAGAGTGCTGCCACTTTGCAGTTTCCTGGCTTTGCGCAACTGCTGTGTGCAAGGCTGAGTTGAAGGATAGTTAGCTTACCCAAAATTGTGGTTTTAGGAGGAACGTTTGAAAAGATGAGATGAAACAGTTGAAGATGTTGGTAGGAGTGACCAAAGTTATTAAGGTTAAGAGCATTATTTTCGGCCTTGGAACTTCTTTTAGTGTAACATTAGAAGTGTTGAGAGAAATCCCAGTTAGTTAAAAACAATTTTATCACTCTGTCCCCAGAAAGAAAATAAACATCTAACTAATATTATCACAGAAATGTCATTTTGCCTTATTCCATATGAGAAAAACATCTGACTTTTGGAGCCCAGTGTACACTCTGTATTTACTGACTTTCTAGGGTGACATGTTTTCCATTTTTACTCTAGCAGAATGACCTGGACTTAAATTTTTTCCCTCACTATTCTCTGTCCTTTCTCAGTAGTTTTAAATATTTCACTTAAAAGTATTAAGAAATTAAACATGTGATTAGAAAGACCCATACTGTTTTAATCATGCAAATACCTCTGGTTTTATTTTTTTAATGAAGTTTTTGGGCTTTTTAAAAAATTGAATTAAAACTTTCAATGCTAGATAACTTACAGTACTAAACATACACTTAAAATGTTTTTGTTTTATCTTGTTTGCTCTTGGTTTTAAGGATTGATGGTTATTAAGGATTTCCATGATGAGCAGATTTTTTTGTTTGTTTGTTTCAAAATAAATTTATTGAGTTTTACTTCTCTCCTAAAGGTAATATTTACAGATTTTAAGGTTGTTAATGTTCTGGCAGTGTGTAACATGCCATTTGAAATCCGTTTGCCAGAATTCACAAAGAACAATAGACCTCATGCCAGGTAAGTCTTTGAAGCAAATTATCTTGATACATTACCAAATTTGAAATTACTAGTCAGCGTGTAAATATTTATATTAATTGTGGCTTCTTTTGTATAGTTATGAACCTGAACTTCATCCTGCTGTGTGCTATCGGATAAAATCTCTAAGAGCTACGTTACAGATTTTTTCGACAGGAAGTATCACAGTAACAGGTATTCTATGATATTGAAACCAAACTTGTAAATTATGGATTGAATGATACAAGATGCTTATACCAAGATAGAAATAATGTCTGATTTGTTCCTTTCAGTTACTTCTGCCCTTTAAGAGGAACCGGTCTCCTGACTTCTAACACTGTAGATTTATTTTACCTACTTTTGTACTATTTATAAATGTTACACATACTATTTTGTGGCTTTTTTCACTCAGCATTATCTTAGTGGGTTTCATCTATATTATGTTCTGTGTAGTTGTATATATCATTCATTCTCATTGGGCATTTGAGTAGTTTCCAGTATGGAGCTTTAAAAATATTCTGATGGGCCGGGTGCATTGGCTCACGTCTGTAATCCCAGCACTTTGGGAGGCTGAGGCGGGCTAATCACAAGGTCATGAGATCAAGACCATCCTGGCCAACGTGGTGAAACCCTGTCTCTACTAAAAATACAAAAAATTAGCTGGGCGTGGTAGTGCACACCTGTAGTCCCAGCTACAAGGCAGGAGAATCGTTTGAAGCCGGCAGGCAGAGGTTGCAGTGAGCTGAGATCACACCACTGCACTCCAGACTGGCAACAGAGTGAGACTCTGTCTCCAAAAAAAAAAACAAGAAAAATTTATATATATATACACACACACACACATATATATGTGTATGTATATATATTCTGGTATATGTATCCATAGTATGTAAATTTATGATACCTTATATTTAAAATTCTCATGAGAAACTCATTTTATAAACTTCAGTTTTACATAAGCAAAATATTAAATATAATTGGTACCTGTTTGTTATGTTTATCTTGCTATATCTTTTGCATCTTTATTTGGAGAAAGGGTGGTTTCAGAAAACTAGGCATTCATGTCAAAGGGTAGCATTAGCATACTGTGTGACATTTTAATGGTACTATGATTATAAATTGTGCAGAGGCGTTGCTTGGGAGTCAGGCCCAACCTTAGGCAAAAAAGAATTAAAGAAAATGTCTTCAATGTCCTTGAGCTTTGTTTTTTCTTTATTCAGTCCATAGAGGAAAATAACAATTTAGTCTCTCAACAAATATATTTTAGTTTTGACTCATCCCATGGGTTTTCCCATCTTCCTTGGGGACTTTCAAAGCGTATTCCCAGGATCTCACCTGAATCTTAAATATGGGATGGTAGGGGACAGATCTGTTTGTTCCCTTCTTTCTGTTCTCTGTTTCCACACTTTGGAGGCTGGATGTCTGAGCAGGCCCAAAGCCTATTGATCTATCTCTACTAAGTATATAATAAAACAATGCATATGTAAAACTCTGTATTTACTGAGTTACTAGATATTAAACAAAACAATAATAAACTGAAGACAATTGACGTGGTTAAGTAGTATGCATTGTTTACTTAGATCAGGAATATCCTATGAAATGTTAGTAATATTGAATTGGTTCCCATGAGCAAAGCATAGCAGGGTGGGGGTAAAGTGAGTCAGGAAGGACCTCACCAAGATAGGATGTGGTTAGGACCATCAGAGTGTTTACAGTGGGTGGATTTGTTAGTTTCCTGGGTCTTTCAAAAGAGGTAAGTGTGTATTAGTGAAGCCATTTTTATTCAAAATAAATTTTATGAAAATAGTTTTCATTGTCCTTTTTTATGTTTCTTTTTAGCAATTTAAATGAAAGATTACATTTTTATAAAGTTGTTCAAGAATTAACATAATGCATGGTCACCTCATAGCCTTGTGCTTTTTTTGTTTTCTATTGACTTGTATAAGCTCTGAGGGTGAAATGACCAGATTGGTAATAAACATGTGGATACCCAGTGGTGGTAAATCTGTGGGGATTTTTAAACCATATATTTTAAAACAGCAGTCTGGTTTCCCAACATTTTGGTGGCAGCTTTGTTTCACTCTGCTGTGTTCCTGCATATTCCTGAGCCTCTGTTGTAGCCTAACCAGAAGCCAGATGATAGTGATCAAAAGGATAGCTGTTATCTAGTCCCATTTGTTACTCCTTCCTTTCATGTACATATTATATTACAGTACTTTTTGTATTAGTCCATGATAGTTTGTATGCAGTTTTTTATATACTTTTTTTTTCGGTCTGGTGCCCTAAAACAAAGTGAATAACCTCATTTTGTGTTTCATGTGTCCTTTAATTGCCCAGAACAAAATCTGTATTATTTTTACTTATTATGGCTATGTGTATAATTATATGTGTAGTTTTTTTTTAAACAGTTAACGTGATATTCTGTACCACTTGAATATTTTTAATTCTGGAAAATCAGTTTTTCCTAGTGCTCCCTTTTCCAACTCTTCTCACTCCTTCCCTCCGTTGTGTTTATTACAGGGCCCAATGTAAAGGCTGTTGCTACTGCTGTGGAACAGATTTACCCATTTGTGTTTGAAAGCAGGAAAGAAATTTTATAATTCACCACTTAATTGGTTAGAATCTCTAACTGAGCACCTTTTAAACCTGCTGCACATTGGACTCAAAAGGAAAACTGGACCAACAGTAATCGAGGAGATAGACTCTTTTATTCATTCACGGCTACAGTGTAAGCTCCAGTCCCTTTGGATTTTATTCCAAACCTTGCTGTAATATAAAAGGAAGTTTACAAGACATGACATTGCTGCTTTTACAAAAGGACATTCTATTTATTTTCGCAGTAATTCTCATGTCCCCGTAAGCAGAGCTGTCACAGTGTGCACTACCTTAGATTGTTTTATTGTTGTCATTGTTATTTTTTTCCATTTTGAGCTAATGTGTTTTATTTGTGAATAGTCTTTTACATTTTTGTATGCTGAATATGGGCACCAAAGAACCTGTAAAAGTTATCTTTTTCAATTGAATGTGCACAAATAAAAGTTTGGAAAAGATCTCTCTTCATATCCATTCTGTAACTTTTATTCCCCATTTTCTATTTTAACAAAAATTGTATTCATACTTTTTTTTAAAATCTATGCAAGCTTAAGACTTTGGCTAAAGTGTGTTGGCTTCTTTTTGAAGTGTATTTTGTGTGTGTGTGTATATATATATACATATATATGCGCCACATGTGTATAGTATCTTTTAATGCTTTGTTACCAAATAACAAATAGGAATTTTTTTTTCTTGCAGATTAGAAATAAAAACGTGTATATAAACTCTAGAGAACCAGACTAGAAGTTTATAGATAAAGGATAATGTTTTATGTTGCTAATTTAATATGATAGAAAATGTTAAATCACTTGTAAAGGTTAAGAAATTGTAGTTTTAAGAAGAGAAACCTCTTACCCACTAGATGGCCATGAGAAAGAAGCTGTGATGAATGGTGCCTCATTTGGATCTTTGTTTTTCTGGAAAGACTCAACACCTGTAGTTGTAGAGAAGTGATTGAGGTTCTTGACTTTAATCTTGGGTTGGTGCCCAAGCCTATACTAAGAGTCTTGTCAGAAGTTGGTAACATGGAGATGTTTTAACAAGAAGTGCCCACAAACTGCCTCTGTGCCACAATGTAATTATCAAATAGCCCCACTTGAATTTGAAAGCCATTTTGTGCGATATTGTCCTTCCCCTTGCTGTATCTTATTTAATGGAGTTAAAGAGTGACTATTCAGTATATGAGATTGCTACTCTTAAAGTTATAATAAATACGCATTTATGAAACAGTGTCTCTGGCTCACCCAGGAGCCCTGATGTGGTAATACAGGATCAAGCGTAGTTGTGCCCTATCACTTAGGTGTAGGAGTTTAGTGTAACCAACAGTGATTATACCTAGAAGTAAAGCTGAGTGGAGAGTCCAATTAGCTTCTCAGGAGAAACTTAATGGAGACAATATTCCAACACAATGTTCCACAAAAACCTGTATTTCCAAAATGTTTTCAAAGCTTTGTGGAAAAGTTGCAACATCCTAATCTCCATATATAGTACATTTTCCTTACCATATTATAAAATAAATCTTGAAAACCTAGCTTAGGCACTGCACTGAACAACACTTATTATTTTTATTTTTATCTTTTTTCTTCTCGATGCCTTCTCTAACCTGCTTCTTACTCCAAAGTGGAAGGCAAAGGCGAACTTACATTTTTCTTTCTTATGAAAGATTTCATTGGAATTGTTAGACTTTTATTTTTCCTTTAAAAAAAAAATGTTTATTTCCTTTATTTTAAGATTCAGTAGGATAGCCAAACTCATAAATATAGAGAATAAAATTACATGAAAGAGTTACAAGCTCACTGTTTTAAAGATTTGACATTTTCATTTAGTTTTAATTAACCGTAATAAGTCACCTCCTGTTTCGCAATGTTCACCAAAAAAAGAAATGTAGAATAGGGGGAAAACATGCTTATATAGCCAAGGTACAGATCCAGATGATACAACCTTTTCAGTATTCGCATGACTTGAAAACTGGGCAGATCAATAGCTAATGGAAGTGCTTTATCTGAAGGGAGAGGGTAAAGACAGTGTGACCGGGTCTGCTTTCAGGGCTGCTGAGTGAGCCTCACCTAGCAGTGTCCATGGGTAATTCACTAACATTAACAAAGATGGGAAGAAGTGAGTGCTCTGATGTCTTCTGCTGGCTCTCCATAAGTACTGTAAATTTTTTTTATAAATAAAAACTGTGAATATATATGTATAAGTTGTAAGTATTTCCCCCTTTTTATTTTTGAAAATCAAAAAGCTTGATTTGGTGTGGGGCAATGAACATTGGATACAAATTTAGAGACAAAATTGTTTAGTTACAGACTCGGGATATTAAAATAAAAATGCAAAAGAATACTCAAGATACTGAAGTCGAGGTCACTAGTAATAAACCGGCTAGGTTGATAAACAGTTTCCTGCCCATTTATAATGAATGGCTAAACCAAAAAATAACTAAAGTATATATAGTGTTTGAACTATAAACACGGAAGGAAACGTGAGGCAGAACACACTTCCCTTCTCTTTCCAAAAACAAACAACAATGCATGCTCTGACTTGCATGTGAAATACACTGTGATAGAATTGAGATCTCAAATCTCCTTTCCTTTTAGCTTCGCCTGCAATTTTAATACAGATAATACACTGCAGATCAGGCCTTTTAGTCTCCTGAGTCTCTGATGTTATAGTTTTACTACTTACATAGGTTTATAGTCTCTCCACATTGTTATAAAGGAATGTAGTAGATCATGTTGCCTTATATGACATTGGGACAGTTTATTGGGAACCAATGGGAAAATTCCAAGCTAAATAAGAAGGAGCTGGCTCTTAGGATTCTCTTTTCTTTAGGTTAATCATATTTTAAAATTCTTTTTCAAGTTAGGTTGTTCGTGCTTTTACGTTTTTTCTGTGTCTTCCATCACTTACAGTATTAGTAATTTAATATGTTACTTGGTTAAAGATTTGATTTTGGATTTTCTATCATCATACCCAAATTTTATTAGTGAGACCTCTTACCAAGTCTTTAAAATCAACTGGAGAAGTAGAGAACAGTTCATCGTTGTGTGGGTGAAACCCATGTTGCTTGTACAGGCCGCCATCATAAAGAAGAACATACGAGGGAATTGTCCTGATGTCTGAATGTCATTTATTGTGTCTTCGGTCACTGAAAGTCATCATCGAGTGTAGCCTGTGTGCCGTAACCTGAGGTATTGATATTCCTGAGGAGTGTGAAGAATTGCAGGACACTGTGGATTACTATACATTGTCATGAAAGCCTTACACGGAGGCAGCTTTTCTGGGCTTGACTTAATAACTTCAACCTAATTGCTTAGAGATTTGGATAAATAACCTAATGGCCTGACTCCTTTTCTAATGTTTTACTAACAGCTACTTCTAAATAAATATGGTCCCAGGATATTAAAATTGTCTTTTCTATGCATTTTTTAAAAATGGAAAAAAATGCTCATTTTTCTCAACTATTGCAGAATAATTTTAATATTTCACAATATTAACATGAAATTCATAAAAGGATATTTTGCATTAAATTGTAGTTTATAGTTCATAAAATAAGCGCTATAATCTTTATACTTGTTGAGTGTAACTAGGAATTACCACTAAAATCCTAGCCAGGACCCTCTCCTAATCTAGATGGAATACACAGTTGTCCACACTGTGTGTGCTGGTTCTTTTTTGCGTAGGACCCACTGCAAGCAGTGTCTTGGTTGGCAAAACCTGTACCCTTATGTCCAGACCACTTGTGTGAATAATAAAGCTGTGACTGGCCTCCGTACATACATAGCTTAAGGCAGAGGTTGATGTCTTCACTAGGACATAGTCTATTCAAAGGCTGCTCTGTGAAGGTAGAAAGTATGAAACCAGCCAGTAACTTTTTTTTTTAACCTGATATCCTGCTCAGAATAAGAAAGAGATCACTTAGGACCTTGTACCTCGTCTACCTTTTGAGGTTCCTTTTGGGGAAGAGGGGATTAAAGGCTGTCTTTACCATTTCAGTGTCTCTTCAAAACCAGTTCCATGACACTGAAAAGAAAGCACAGGAGTCGCAACTATGCACTGGTCCAAAGACACCCTCCTAAGCATTCTGGCACTATCCACGTTCAGAAGGTGTTGAGACCATTAGTTCTCTGGAGAAAGCTGCCTGGACTGGCCCCTACCACACAGCTTGTTACACTCCAAGAGCTGCTCCTGGGGTTTTCTTTTTTGAGGCTGTCTTGGCACTAATTCTTCTTGCTGATGACTCATAAAGCAAATGTTGTTTTTCACATAGTTCCTGAAAGAAAAAGAGGCACTAATGAAAATGTCATTCTTAGTTTACAGTACATACAAAAAAAAAAAAAAAGTGTAGGCTATTATTTTTTAAACCACCCTGGGGCTTTAATGTTTTAGCTATGCAAAATAAATACATATTTTTATTAGGAAGCCTGCTGCATCATGAAATTCAGTATGCCGCAGACTTTGGTCAGTGTCATGCAAGGGGTAACGGTGTCTTCTCAGAACACAATCCCAGCAGTCAGCTCTGTGGGGAAGGATTCCAAGGATAGTATTACATACAGAGAACCAGTGGAGGTTTCATCCCAGACCTTATTTTTTTCCATTTCTCAAACTCCAGCAATGTGCCTATATTTATATCTCTTCTGTCTTCTACGTCATCCCTCACTCCTACATTAACAAATTTTTCTACAGGATTCTTTCCATCAACACAAAAAGATGCTATTGTATTTTACCTTTATTAAAAATGAAGAGCTGCCTTTGAACCTCCCTTTTGAAATACCTTTTTCTGTAATTTAACCAGTGATTTGAGTGGCCACAGTATGTAGGTGGTATGGGTTGAGTAGATAAAGACTCCTGTTTTCAAGGAGCTTACTTAGATTTTAGAGGGGAGACAAGCATATAATTTGAAGTAGTAAAAGTGCTAATGAGAAATAAACGGAGAAGGAGAAAAAAGGATTTCGTTAGGTGGGAGAGGACAGACTGTTACACAGGTGGCATCTCTCTAAAGCAGTGACGATCAGAAAATGGAATGAAGTTAGGGAGGGAACCTTGCAAAGAATCCCAGAGACCTGAGAAGTGGGGGCAGGGAAACGAGTTGGTATCTGGAGGGAATCTGAGGAAGGTGTTTTTTCAGGATGGGAAATACTGCAGCTTTGTGAGTGTGTGCATGATGATAATCCCATAGCAGGGGGAAATTGATGCAGTCAGTGTACAAATAGAAGCATTGACCTTTGCAGCAAGGCAGAATGTGTGGGCATAGATGTAGGCAGGTTAGATCTTGTGGCAGGAGGACGAGATGGTCTCAATTTACTTTCTCAGTGAACTAAAAAGCAAAATAATTAGAGTGAGGAAGTGGGAGGGGGTGCTGGAGGCTTGGGAAAAGTATTGGTGTGAAGTAATCGTCTTTGAAAGTAGGAATGTCAACTCACCAGGGAAATGTGGTATATTGCACGATATTCCTCAAGAGCTACTTGAGATTGATGTTCGTAAGTTTAAAACAAGGCTGATCAGCATGGTTGTGTGTTTGATTCAGCCAGGTTTAGCTCCTTGAATGCAGGGATAAAATGAA